AGAATGTGACACAAACTTTAAAGGATTATGTACCTGCACCCCTAGGTCCCTCTGTTCTCCAACACTACCTAAGGCCCTATCATTAATTGTATAAGCCCGACCCCTGTTTGTTGTACCAAAATGCAATATCTTGCATTTATCCAGATTGAACACCATTTGCCACTTTTCAGCCCGTTGACCATTTGATCAAGATCCCTTTGTCATCTTTGAAAACCTTCTTCACTGTCTACAATGGCACCACTTTTGGTGTCATCCGCAAACTTACTTACCATGCCGTTCTATATTCTCATCCAAATCATTTATGTAAATGCCAAACAAAAGAGAACCCAGAACCGATCCCTGTGGAATGCTGCTGGTCACAGGCCTCCAGTCTGAAAAGCAACCCTCCACCGTTACTCTGTCACCTGCCATTAAGTCAATTATGTATCCAATTGGCAAGCTCACCTTGAATACCATGTGACCTAACTTTACTGATTAGTTTACCAGGCAGAACTTTGTCTAAGGCTTCACTAAAATTCAAACAAACAACATCCACTCTTCTACCATCATCAACCTTTTTGGTAACTTCTTCAAAAAACTCAATCAAATTTGACAGACACTATTTTCCGAGCAGAAAACCATGCTGACTATCCCTAATCGATTTTTTGCCTCTCTAAATGTCCATAAATCCTATCTTTTATAATCACCTCCAACAATTTACCCACAACTGAAGTCAGACTCACAGGTCTATAGTTCCCCAGGTTCTCCTTACAACCCTTCTGTAACAAAGGTACAACATTAGCCACCCTCCAGTTCTTCTCTCGGAGGGCAGTGAATCTTTGGAATTCTTTACTGAGAGGGCAGTAGAGACCGGGTTCTTATGTTTATTGAAGGATGAGATAAACAGATTTTTAATTAGTAAGGGAATCAAAAGATTATAGGGAAAAGGTAGGAAAATGGAATCGATTATCAGATCACCCACAATCTCATTGAATGGTGGAGCAGATTCAACGCACTGAATGGCCTGTTTCTGCACCGACATCTATAGGGTCTCATCAAACCTGACAATGTCTTCCTTCAATCTAAGTCACTCACCTAAATTTTATTTTTAGGAACCATAGTATCATTTATTTCATTTCAACCACTTGAATATTAGAACATTCCTTTCTAATGATAAATTTTTCACAATCTGTAATCTCTAGTAAGGTGACCAGCATCAGAGAATTATACTCCTATTGCGATTGGTTGGCTCGCCGAGCTGGTTCGTTGTTCCACAGACGTTTCATTACCCTGCTGGGTAACATCATCAGTGCAGCCTCCGATGAAGCGCTATTGTGTTTTCCTGCCTGTTATTTGAACTCTGGTGTCCATTGGGCTGGATTACCCCACTTGCAGTTTTCCTTCACAATGGAGTGTATATGGTGTCAAGCTCTATGTATTTGTACTCACTCATGTCTATCCACATACACAAGGAGAACGAACAATTTGATTGGGACAACACCAGGATCCTGGGACAAGCAGAGACAAACATGGGAATACCTGGAAGCCTGGTATTCCACTAAGAAAGCCATCAATAAACATATAGAGCTCGACCCCATATACACTCCATTGCGAAAGAAAACCCGAAGTGAGGTAATCCAGCCCAACGGACACCAGATTTCAAATAACAGGCGGGAAACCACAACAGCACTTCATCGGAGGCTGCACTGAGGATGTTACCCAGCATGGTAACGAAACGTCTGCGGAACAACAAACCAGCTCGGCGAGCCAACCAACCACAACATCCACAACCCGGGCTAAAAATCTACTCTAAAACCTTGGAAATTATACTCCAAGTCGGCTGTGTCCCTCATTTATTGCTGTTGGAGCTATTTAAAAGTTAAATAATGATGGTATAGCACAAATATTGTTGTTCTGCCCAAAGCCATTTCATTAACTGATGTAAATAGGCAGGTTCAAAGTAGCTTAGGGCTTTGCAATGACAAATGCATGTTGTTCCTATTAAATAGGCACTATCCAAGTCCCTCAAGGAGCTTAAAAATAAAACAAAAGATAAATCAGGAACAAAAACAGAAGTTGCTGGAAAAACTCAGCGGGTCTGGCAGCATCTGTGAAGAAAAAGTCAGAGTTAACGTTTTGGGTCCTCAGAACGGTCATCGGATCCAAAACGTTAACTCTGATTTTTTCTTCACAGATGCTGCCAGACCTGCTGAGCTCTTCCCTCAAGGAACTTATTTAGCTTTCAGCGAAACTAGCTATGTTGTTCGCTTCAACCTCCCACTTAGACAGACTCGACACACACTATCAGGGTACTACATAACAGAGGATAGAATGTATGATTTCAAAATGGACACTGCATTACATCTGTACGCCCTATTCCAAATATTCTTTCTCTCGCCTCTCTTCACGTCAAGATAGTGGGTTGTACTTTCCCTTAAATTAACAATTTGAGGAATTTTGTGATTTCCCTTTGTGACCCCTAGCAATTTTTCTCATACACCGTTGTACTCAGCCACAGAAGAACTCACCAGTTACAGGACCTTGACACATTCACAACAGGGGTATCGTTAAACCCCATCAGCCAGAGTTTCAAACACTAACGGCTCGGCCTGAAGTGCTATTATGGACCAGACCAAACCACTTCAAAATATAAGAAGAAGATAGCCTAGACCCTAACTTTTTCTTATTTTAAAGGCAAGTGCCAGGCACTGCATTCTGGATGCTATTCAACTGGTCAAACTACCAGTCTTGAAGTAAAACACACTTTATTCATACACTACAGTTAAAATACAACAAAAGAAAGAATTAGAATAACAACTCTACTGGGAAACTTAACAGAATAATAGATTAGATTAGTTAACTACTAAATAATAATGTTCCAATATAGTAACATCCCATAAACATACCCCTGGCAAAGGCAAATTCAGTAAAATAGAATGTTTCACATACAATTCTAGCAGGAGGAGAACCCCCAACTTTCAACTGAAACAGAAAGAGTGAAAACAGCTTCTACGTCCAGCTTCAAGATCCCTGCAGCAACCACTAGTGAAGGCTAAAACTAAAAACAAAATCTTGGTTCTGTAGGAGCTTGAGTCCACTCTTTCAGACTGCTTCTATGATACCATCTTTAAAAATTCCAAGGCCTCACAAGCTATTTACTTTATTAGCTTTGCAGCAGACTGCTTGCTATCTCTGACCCAACCTTTCTTCATAAAAATAACCAGAACTAAATACAACTCTTAAAGCCATAGTATTGTCACAGTAGGTACCTTTGTGCAGTACCCAGAGTCAGAAGGAACACACATATGTGCCACAAGAAGGTTAATGATCTTGTGCAATCTGCAAGGTAAGAGCCACCATCATCTCTCTGCTATCTCATACTCACTCTAACTCTGCCATTGCAACTTTCTACCATGGCTCATAGTCTGCCAGCCTCAATACAACATTAGCATCTTCCATTTATGGCTCACACGTCTCCAAATACTAGTCCTTCCTGGGCTCTGCACCTCCTATTCATTAATTTGGGAACTTCATCACCTTCTTTACCAAAGATGGACCAGTCCCATAACTGACCATAGTTCACCTTGACTGAACTAAGGACTCATCTCTTTAGACTTCCACAGACAGCCATTTGATTCAAACACATGTAATGTATTTGCCGTGTAAGCTGCTGGCACATGCCCTGGTTGTAAGCAATTGTCTTGCAACATGTCCAAACTTTTGACTGGTCATTGCTGGCAAACATAACAAGCTGGCTGGCTTTCTGTTTGCACTAAATAGCAAGATAATGCTGAGAGATGCTGTAACCATTCAAGTTAGTGCAAAGTGAGTGAGTACTAAGAAAGCAACCTAAGAAACCAAAGATAAGCCCTGTTCTGATGCATTAGATGGGTAGCTGTCTCTGTATTTGCAAATCACACTAAAAACAGCACTGTAATGTAAGGTGACAGTGAGCTCCAAAGTGGAGTATTTAAGGGCTGAACTGTATAATATGTTCATCTGAATTGTGCCACGATCACGTGGTGAAAGGTTTGTTGATACCAATCTCGGACGGAGACGACAGACAGACGCAGTCCATGAAGAAGGTCTGAGATGTTGGGGAATGCTGGCCAGGACTGAGCCTACAGAAGACACTGGCAAGCTGCAGCCATCAGGTTACCGCTCTGACTTTTAAGTCAGGATTTAAAAATCTATTTTCTCTTTGATATCTGGAGAAACAGCATACCCGAGGCAAGATTAGGTAATAAAAAGATGTTGTTACCAATAAGCGATTCACTGCTCAGTAGTGAGCTTCCCTTCTAACTGTTAAAACCTTAAGTGGGAAGAAAACTAGACTTTTCTTTCTAATATCAACAGTTTCATTTTTTCATTCGTGTTGTATTTTCCCAACTTCCCCACCATTTCCCATGCCATTCAAAGACTGAGAAAATTCAGCCCTGTATTTGTCTTGAAGGGAAAGCAACAGCAGAAAGGGGAAGGAGAGAACAAAAATTTACTGTGGTAACAGCAAGGTAGGAAAAGACTGACTTCAAAAGTATGTGTGCCTTTTGCCCAAGTATTTCTACCTGCCAAGAACTAGCAAAAATAGTCGCTTATTTATCACTAATGTTTTCAACCCTTCCAAATGGGATCCTAGCATGTCAACTTACTTCTCCATATACTTATCTGGTGTGCTTCATCTCCTACCTGCTCAACTTACTAGTCCTAGGCCTTCCTAGATAACCAAGACATAGGCAAAAATGTTGTAGTGCAGAGTGGAAGAAAGGGAGAACTGAAGTATAAAAGTCTTTGAAAGGTTTGGTACAGGAAATCAGAGGTGAATTAAGGGAAAGAGTCAAATCTATACTCTCAGAAATTCTACTATAGTAGTTCTTGCAAATATTACATTCTTTCTCACAAGCTGGATTAAATTGTATATCTACTGTCTAAATTGCATTAACAAATTGCGAATGTCAGTGAACATGTATTCGGTGACATAATTTAAATCTTCTCTTCGGGTATAGCAACTATTGCTGCATTACCTGCGCAATGGTAGGGATTTGAGTCTGAGAATTCTGAGCTTGTAATTGGATAGATTCACTATCTGTGGCGGAATCTGTTACACTGCCATCTTGGTGAGATTCAACTACTGATTCCATGGTCATTTGTCTAAAAAGAAAAAGAAATCATAAGTGATACACAGTTAAAAAATATTTCAAGTAGGGTATATAGAACAGTGATGTTTATTAGAATCATTGTATCATAGAATCCATACAGTGTGGAAGCAGGCCATTTGGCCCATCAGGTCCACACCAATTCTCCTAAGAGCATCCCACCCAGACCCGCCCCCTCCCCTATTCCTGTAACCTTGCATTTCCTATGGTTAAACCATCTAGCCTACACAACCCTGGACACTATGGACAATTTAGCATGGTCAGTCCACCTAACCTGCATATCTTTGACTGAAAGAAGAAACCGGAACATCCGGTAGATACCCATAAAACATGGGAATAATGTGCAAACTCCACATATGGTCACTCAAGGTTGGAATCAAACTCAGGTCCCTGGCACTGTGAGGCAACAGTGCTAACCACCGAGCTACCATGCCTGCCTGCATTTAATCTACATTTACTTCTCTTTTTCAAATCTGTTGGATATATTCTATTTGGTGGTAGAGTGCGAGATGGAGGGGTGGGGGTGTGAATGGAATTCTGGAAGGCCCAGTTTACTTTAAGTTCATATTGTGTCTATATTCTGTATTCCCAATACAGAATGTTATACCAAAATTATAAGTTGTTAATTCCAACCATTCCTTGTTGCTGTTTACCCTCTGGATGAGCAGTAGCCATCATTCCATACGCTCATCCTGCTCCAATACCCCTATTTGCTTTCCATTTAACTAATTACCTAATCACCTAATCCATTCAAACACTGGCAGCTTGCAAACCTGTGTAAAAAGTCTCTTGCTGTCTATCCTAAGACTTCAACTTGTGTTTTTAGCCCTTATTCTAGGACAATCACAGGAAACTGACTGTGTTAAAGTACTTTGGCTTAAATATCTCTGTTCTTAATGAAAACAACCACAATTTCCCAAGCCTTTCTTTAAATTCTCCCACCCCACAATCAGGCATGGACCTCGTGAATACATAACGTGCACACTTTTTTTTTTCTTTATTCATTAACGGGACAAGGGCATCGCTGGCTAGGCCAGCATTTATTGCCCATCCCTAATTGCCCAGAAGGCAGTTAAGAGTCAACCACATTGCTGTGGGTCTGGAATCACATGCAGGCCAGACCAATTAAGGATGGCAGTTTCCTTCCCTAAAGAACATTAGTGAACCAGATTGTTTTTTTCCCAACAATTAACAATTGATTCACAGTCATCATTAGATTCCTAATTCCAGATACTTATTGAATTCAAATTCCACCATCTGCCGTGGCGTGATTCGAACCCGAGTCCCCAGAAATTATCTGGGTCTCTGGATTAACAGTCCAGCGATAACACCACTAGGCCATTGCCTCCCTCATATTTCAACACGTCTCCTATCATGGTCAGTGCACACAGTATGGCGACTCTGATTTTACTGGTAGAGTAAGATTTTATATTCTCTATTCCTCAATGTAAACTCTAGTTTTCCATATCTTTTTCTACGATATTATCCACTTGAGGTACAATTTTAAGATTAATGAAGCTAAATCCTAAAAAACCTCTGCTCTTTCATGTTATCCACTTTTACGTCTTTCAAGTTAACTAACTAGCTGTTTATAACACACTTTTTTCTAGGACTTTTCAAAACCAGGAGTGGCACAGTGGTTGTGGTTAGCACTGCTGCCTCACAGCACCATTCACCAGATTTGATTGCAGCCTCGGGTGACTCTCTGTGTGGAGTCTGCACATTCTCCCCGTGTCTGTGTGGGTTTCTTCCTGGTGCTCTGGTTTGTTCCCATAGTCCAAAGACATGCAAGTAAGGTGGACTGATCATGTTGAATTGCCCATAGTGTCCAGGGGTGTGCAGGCTAGGTGGATTAGCCACAGGGAACTGTGTGGTCAGGGAGATAGGGTAGGGTTGTATCTGGGTGGATGCTCTTTGGAGAGTCGATGTGGACTCAAAAAGGCCGAATGGCCTGCTTCCACACAGTGGGCGTTCAATGATCTAGTCCATCTTGCTTCTGTACGAAAAGAATCTACCAACTCAGCCACCCAACAAACTTTGGAATTATTTCTCCAGGAAGAGTGATCCTGCAACGTAAAAAAAAGTTTTTTTTTGTACTAATCACATTACACACCCTCTGAACAAAAAAAAATGTTAATACTTTAATTAGTATGCACATATTATAGGATATTTCTGATGCATCAGTGGACAAATATAGTGTATTAGTGAAGCATATAGACCAGAAAGATGCGAGGTTTAATCCTTGGATTATACTGCAAGCTGATTTTGTCAATATGGATGCCACAACAGAAACTGATGTCCTCGGGCTAAGAAGAATATACACATGGATTCTATTGATCCATCTGGTGAACGGCCTTAGTTGAGCCTATTATTTAATATCAATGCTTTGAACTGAAGAATAGATACTTGAGCAAGGCACTAAATGACTGAAGTTACACAGGAAATAATACACAATTGCTATTGAACTGAAGTAAGACTTTTTAAAAATAGTTAATATTAAATGATTCATGTTTTAAAAATTATGACCATAAACCATACCTTAAAACCATAAGCCATCTTGAATGCCCTTTATCTTCTTTGAAGCTACTGCATGTAAAAGTTTGCATATATACTTTAAAAGAAAATCAAACTTCAAAAGATACTCACCCTGAGTTTCCAAGGTTGTTTGTTTGTATGCAGTCACTTATCTATTTAGCAAAAATATGATGTCTCTTTTGACTTGCTTCAGAAATATGTTTGTATCAATTATGGAGATATCAAGGACATTCTGCCATCTTAGTGTTTCAAGTTCATTCAGTGGCTTCCTTTATGAAAGAAAAATGCAGGGCATAAACTGAGAGAAATAGCTACAAATAAGCAATGATGGATTGGTAATAAAATTAACCTTTAATATACCAATTTTGTAAACAGATCTGAGGTGTTTACTAAAATGTTGTTACCTAGTTCTTTGTTTACCATGTTCTGATAGCAAATCTGCATTGTTTTAAATTATTTCCCATTTGTTGTTGAGTTACCAAGTCCCCTTTCATTCTTTCGATAATGTCCTGGATCCAAATTAAGCAGAGGAGGCTAATGAGATTCCTAATCAACTTGAATACTTCAAGTGGGATTTCACTGGCTCCCAAAGATATACCCATAAACAGTCGCTTTATAGCTTTGATGACTTCAGCTTGAGATGGATGTAGGACAAGCTTGTTTAGAATGTGCTGATTTGGAAGTGATTCAATTGTATTTGTGAATTCTTGGTTTAGGAAATAGTTAAAGTGCTCTGCCCATTAAGAGAAAGTCTCATGTCTGTTCATTAGGAACTGATTACCATCTCCTAGGAGACAGGTTTCGTACTGTCGTTTTTGGAGAGCCTCCATAGAAAGCCTCCAGGTCGTAAAGAAGGTTATAAAGCTCTGCAGCCTTGTGCTCTCATCAATGCATCTTCACCTCCCTTTGTTTGACCTGCAGTGTGTATCTTGTTTCATGGTGTCTGGACTTTCTTGCTGGTGGTGATTTTTATTTTTGTCAGGACATGTCGCATCTGTGCGGGTTGTGGATATTCAAAAACTCAGATACATAATGGTTGTTCTTGTCAAATCAATCTTCATGAATGTGTTGGCACCAAGATACCTCTAATCCCTCCTTAAATGCTGTGATTGAATTGGCTTCAAAAACCACTTGTGGTTCTGCATCTATATTTTACTCATTCTTTTGAGTAGATTTTTTCTTGAAGTTCCCTCCAGTACGAGTTCCAAATTTCCTCCAATTCGCTCCCAGCAAAAAAACCTCTACTAGTAATTATCTCATAAATTACTTTCAACATTTGAACATTTATGTAGGAATCTACATTACATTGACGTGCTCTACTGCAATCAATGTTTGGTTTACATCTTTCATTATGACTATTCTCATCATTGATACCATCACAGTAAACTTAAGTTGAACCTTCTTCACAATTCCATATCTTCAAAAATGGGATGATAAAAAATGTACACGATATTTCGCTATGGCACAGGTATGATCTTGTACTTATTAACCCCTTGCTTTTATATTAAATGATAAATTTAAAACATACTTTCATTCTAATTTTCAACATTTTGCAGCTGTAATTTAAGATTTGTTTCTGAGTTAGGGAGATTAAAAATGCATCCGCATTTCATATCTAGTTACTATTTTATGATCCTGATGAAGATCATGAAAATGCAACCTCCATTCAAGAAAGGAGGCAACAGAGTGACAAATGCCAGACCAGTTATTCTAACATCTGTCACCAGGAAAGTATTAGAAACCAGTCTAAACTAAATACTACCAGAAGACTTCAAAAATCATAACAGAATCAAGAACAGTAAAGCATGGCCTTGGGAAAGAGAAAATATGTTTGACAAATTCTTTAGAATTCCAAAAGGATGTATCAAGTAGGGTGAATCCATGAATTTGGATTTACAAAAGGTATTTGATAATATGCCACGTATGTAACATTTATAGAATCATGCAATGCAGAAGACACCCTTCGGCCCATCAAGTCTTCACCGACAAAAAACTATAAATCTACACTAGTCCCATTTTCCAGCACTTGTCCCACAGCATTTAATGTTTTAACATGGCAAGGGCTCATCCAAATACCTTTTAAAGTTTCCTGCCTCAACTACCCTCTGGGGCAGTGCATTATAGATGCCCATCACCCTCTGGATGGAAACAATTTTCTCAAATTCCCTCTAAACATCCTGCCTTTCATCTTAAAATTATGTCCCCCTGGTTATTGACCCTTCAACTAAGTGGGAAGCAGTTGCTTCCTATTCATCTTATCCATGCCTCTCATAATCTTATTCACCATATTCAGGTCCCCTATCAGCCTTCTCCACTACAAAGAAAAAAACCCAAACAAATCCAGCCTCTCTTCATGAGTGAGTGAATTATTTATTGTCACATATATCTGGCAAAATACATTGAAAAGTGTTTTGTTGCCATAATCCAGCACCATTTTGAGTTACAAAAAGAAGTCACATAAATACAGTTCATCTTCTATACAAAGGATCCTAAAACATGGCTCCAGGACTTTTGCAAGGTCTCTGCAAGGTGTCTGGGCCTCAAGAGTCCCCGACGACCCCACCAAGAATCCATACTCCAGACATACCACTGCCTCCACCACAGCAGCTGTGAGTCCACGCTCCGGGCACTGCCACTGCCGACAACCTGCCGCTGCCAGGAGTCCACGCTTCAGGCCTACCACATACAGGAATCTACACTCTGGGCACTGCTTCTGCTGCAGCCGACCACCTGCCAAGCACCGCCACAGATGACAACTCGCCAAGTACACACAAGCTTACCGCTCCAGGCAATTACACTGCTGTGGCTGACACCCCACCAACAGCACATCGGCTTCCTCACCACGTGAGAAGATGAAGAAAAAAAGAGTTGTAGGGTCATAGTTCTGTTTGTGTTGTATGACTCTCAGTCCATGCCAATCATAATCCCAAACTAAACTAGTCCCACCTGCCTGCTCCTGGTCCATATCCCTCCAAACCTCTCCTATTCATATATCCATCCATATGTCTTTTAAACAAGTTCATTCCAAACATGAACTACCCTCTGTGTAAAATATTTGCCTCTTAGGGTCTTGTTTAAAATCCCTCTCTCCTTACACCTTAAAAACGTGCCCCCTGGTCTTGAAATTCCCTATCTAAGGGAAAAGACAACTACCATCAACTCTATCTATACCTCTCATTACTTTACAAACTTCTATCAGGTCACCTCTCAACCTCCTACGCACCAGTGAAGAGTCCCAGCCTATCCAGCCTTTCCATATCACTCAGATCTTCCATATCCAACATCCTGGTAAATCTTTTCTAAACCCTCTACAGCTTGATAATATCCTTCCTATAACTGGGTGACCAAAACTGGACACAGCATTCCAGAAGAGGCCTCATCAATGTCCTGTACAACTTCAACATAATGTCCCAACTCCTATACTCAAAGGACTGAACAATGAAGGCAAGCGTGCCAAATGCCTTTTTAACTATCCTGCATGTATGTGATTCAAACTTTAAAGAATTGTGTACCTGCACTTCTCCGTCCCTCTGCTCTACAACACTACCCAAGGCCCTACCATTAATTGTATAAGCCCTATCTTTGTTTCTTGTACCAAAATGCAATACCTTGCATTTATCCAGATTGAACTCCATCTGCCATTTTGCAGCTCATTGGCCCATTTGATCAAGATCTCTTTGAAATCTTAGAAAAAGATAAAGAAAAAGACAAGAAAGAGGACGCAGCAGATCTGGAGCTGACAGATTCAAGAGTCCCAACACTATCTACTGCTGCTATCATACCTAAACTATTCCATCCCAAGCAAAGAAGTTGAAACTTGTATCAGTTTGAGCTGCATCGTTGAATCTGGTATATTTAATAACTGCAGTCAACATCAAACTTGCAGTTCTTTCACTGTAGTTAGTAATGTAGGCTTGTTGAATTCCCTGAAGGGAGTTCCAAGGCTTTGACCCAGTGAATGAGGGAATGGCTTAGTGTTCCCAGTCAGAATGCCGTGCAACTTAGAAGGTGACTTGCTGGTCATGGCATTCCCATGCATCTTGTAATGGCCTTGCTCTTCTCGGTGGTTTCGAGTTTGTGTCCTTGGAAGTTGCTGTCGAAGGAGCTGCAGTGTATCTTCTTGTGCTACCACTGTGTTCTGATTATGGAAGGAGAATATATTTGAGTTGGTAGATAGAGTGCAGATCAAGCAGGTTGCATTGTCTGAGATGAAGTTAGGCTTTTTGAAAATGTTGCAGCTGCGTCATTCAGGCAAGTGAACATTATTCAATCACACATCTGACTGTTCCTTTTGAGACCACAAGCCCATAAGTATAGGTACAGAAGTAATTAATTCAGTCCATCAAGTCTGCTCCGCCATTCAATGAAATCATGGGTGATCTGATAATCCTCAACTCTGCTTAATTATATATCCCCATAATTCTCAATTCCATTACTGATTTAACATCTATCTGTCTGGAATTTCCTTACTGAGCCAAACTCAACAGCCCACTGCAGCAAAACATTCCAGACTTACCATCCTCTGAGAGACAGATTTTCTCCTCATTTCAACCTTAAATGGGCAATCCCTTTTTCCAAAATTATGGAGTCTTGTTGCAGTGTCTCACAGAAGGGGAAACAACCCCTTTGTCTCTATTCTGTCAAATACCCTAAGAATCTTGAATGTTTCAAAAATGTTTCCTCTCATTCTTCTAAATTCCAAAGAGTACAAGCAAAATCTTCCATACCTGCAATCAACCTAGTGAACCTTCTTTAGTCTGCCTCCAATGAGCATATATCTTAGGTAAGGGGCCAAAAACTGATTACAGTATGTGAATTAACTAGACCCTTGCGTAGTATTACGAAGGCCTCCATATTTTTACACTCCATTCTTTTTAAAGTAAAAGGCAACAGTTCATTTGCCTTCCCTATTACCTGCTGTGATTAATACACAAGGACCACCTGAATTTCCTTGTGCTGCAGCTTTTTGCAGTCTTTTTCTCCCATTTAAATAATATTCAACTCTTTATTTTTCCTCATTTTTCCCCGTATCATATTCCATTTACCAAGTTTCTGTTTGCTCACCGAATCTGTCCAAATCCCTCTGAATTCCTTGTCTCATCCTCACTACTTTCTTTCCCTATTTTTGTGTCATCTGCAAACTCTGTATGGCACATACACTTCCGTCAATCATATCATTTGTATTGTAAATTCCTGTGGCACTCCAATAGGTACAGGTTGCCACTCTAAAAATGCCCCCCATCTCAATTCTGTCTTATTTTAGTCAATT